AACCCTGACCTGGGACCGCCGTGTAACAGCACAACATCAGTTGCAGACGGCTAATTCAATAGATCGGTATTACTGGCCAATATAAATACATCAAAATTCAACGGCCTGACTAAGTGGTGTGGGTATATCCCCCTTATTGTTATTTTTTTAGTACTTTTTTTCTGATATTTGACTGCCAGTCCCCCTTTTTATACCAAATAGCTCTGAACATCAACTCGAACTTTAATTTGAACTTTAACTCAATGGATAGCGACACATATCCGAAGCACATTAAACAAACGACATATGGAAATCGATTTAAAAATAGACCTATGTTTTTCCAAAATGGTCACGTGGTTTTACCTCATCATCAAATAAACAAGTTGTCGACTTAATCAATTAACAAGTTTAATTCATCATGTCGACTTAGTATTACTATGTCATTACATTTATATTAGCAAGTCGACATTGTAATGCAATTTTTTCTTCATCATTCCGACAAGTTGACTCCACATGAAGATTTGATTCCAGCTTATAACACACAACATAACTAATAATTCCGACTTATTTGCAACAAAATAACTTAACAAGGGGTGTACCATATGCGCTTCCATAGATAAGGGTAAAACTATTGCTGTCAAATTAATATCCTATCAATGCCTTCTTTTAACATTCAAGCCACAAATGAGCCACATGTTACTACTGTTACATTTCCTTTTTATGCAAAAAACGCATTGTAGTTGAGCCTCTAGTTGCTGTATCTGTTGATTGTAAAATTTTGTACTTGACAATTCAAGACTTTAGAGAATGAAATGTATGAGTGTAGCATTCATGTTTAGTTTAATTGTTTAATTTTGATTTTATTTATGCAGTTATGTTTTTAACATCATCTTGTTCCTAGAAGGACAAAACTGTGATTCCTGTTATCAAAAGAATAATAACACTGTTTGAGAAATAAAATATTGGCAGACGAAATAAGAAAACCAACGAACAGAATACAACGCCCCCTAAAAAAAAACAAAAAAAACACACACACAAAAGATGGCAAACCAACAAAGCCAGTCTCCATCGCATGAGTTCAATGATTTGTAATCAGTGTTTGTACTGAGATAGTCATACTGGTAAAGAATTAGATAAATGTAAAGGAGAGAATCTGCCATCCCGTGCGACACATTACATTTCAATGTAAACTTTAAAATATATATACATTTTTCTATGTACAGAAATAGGTCGTCGAAAATTAGTTTTTATCCTGAAACTTGCAGTTGAAGTCTAAAAATCTGTGACACGAAAAACTGAGGTGGAGTATTTGAGAAAACTGAGCACTGGGGACGTCTTTTTCTGCTTGCTAGAAATAAATTACTGTTCCTTTGCTTTTTTGTGTTTTTGCTGTGCATGTAAACATTTTGTGTCTAGGATAGATACCCCATATCCTGTCTTTTCTATTTTAAAGGTCAGTACCTTCCGGGCAATACATTATTTAGTGCTTAAAATTCTCGAAAAAGAAAACTTGAGACTTAACTTACCGTGATAGTTTTTTCTTCGCTTCGAAACCGCCAACCCGTGTCAACCATAACATGCGCACGTGGCGCTCTACGCGGTGTGTTTAATAGATAAAGAGTGCGAGTAGAAAAAATATTGCTGCAATCATGGATCGCAAAATGATTTGTATAGGTGTAAAACGAAATTATTAAATTTTGATATTGAAATGTATATGGATTATACAGAAAAAATGGGACTCATTTGACTAAAAATAAAGTCTTTCATTTATTAATCGGATTTTTATTACCTTATGCTGAAACACAGACAAATCATTAGACGCCATTTTGTTCTTATAAATTTTGGTGACAAGGTCAAATTTGTGTTTTAAAAATGACATCAAGTCATTGTTTGAATCAGTTTCACCTACAGCTAGGCAACCAGCCAGAATTACTGAAAAATACATTTCATTTAAGACATTAAGATACACCCAATCATCAAAAATATTTTTTTTATAAAAGTTATAATAATTAAAAAATATTCGATTAACTTTAAATTAAAACTCTATTGCAATTTACAAGCTAATTATTGCTGGTTTTTTTAAAATAATTTTATTGGAATTCAATACGTTTCAAAAATTACAATATGAGTAATAAACCTTCTTCATTGGGTTATCCACATAAAATAGATCTTAGTCATTGCAACTGATAAATGGAAATGTAAAAAACGAAAATGTGATCAATTTGAATTAAACGCAAAACAGACTTCAAACCTTTTAAGTTAAAAATATATTTGTAATGATAATGGAAATTTCTGCATTCTTATTTCTCTGACCTATAATATGCATGTCACACATAAATTAGAAGTATCGTAAACGAGGACATTATATAATTTATATCTCTCTTCTTCACGGGCTTTGATGTTTAACAAATTAGTAGTGCCCGATACGATCAAACAATGTCGAAAATTGAGTTTGATTGCTGTCAATTAATTGAATTTGCATTGAGATATTGAGTTAATGTAGTCCAAAGCTTTATATATTTAAATCAAAACCAATATAGTATCTGTAAAAACAACGAACGAAAGTGTCAATGATCGTATTTCTATGAATCAAAATACAGCCTTGCTATATTTGTGAAAAAAATACTATAAATTTTATTTCCTTCTAATTGATTTCATACATTATTTATATATCAATATCCTGTGTTAAAAAGTCTGCGTTGTTGCCTAATGCTTCTAAAATGTTAGCTCGGACATCGATAAACAACTTTGATATACTTTGTTAATATATTTTGATGTTTCTTCTCTTTATTTTCCTAAAAAAAACTTAAATTGTCCGAATGATACTTGCCTCGATCTTTAAGCCAGGTTAATTTGTTTGTGTAAAAGAACTAGTCAAAGATAACAGGCTTATAATTGTGTACGTCAAACGCGCGTTTCGTCTACAGTGGGCTGAGAAGAAGTTCAGCACAAGACGATATCAAAGACTTAGAAATTGCTTGAATTAAAATATGTACATTGCAAAACATTTTGTATTGATAATAAAACCAATATATTTGTCCAACTCATAGTTTCTCAATTTGAATCTATTCAAAGTTTTGAAATCTTTATACTACGTACCATTGCTATCGCTGACCGTCGGACTACCGAATTAGGTTTATCACCGGGTTTGTGCTTACACGAGCATCACGAAGGGTGCCACATGTGGAGCAGGATATGTTTTCCCTTCCTGAGCACCTGAGATTACGGCCCTTGTTTGTTTTAGGTGTTCGTCTTGCTTAGTCTTTAGTTTTCTATGTTGTGTTTTGTTTACTGTTGTTTGTCTTTTGGTCTTTTTTCGTGTTTTGCCATGGCAGTGTCAGTTTGTTTTCGACCCATGAGTTTGAATACAGTTTCGATACCTTTTGCCTCTCTTTTATTCAAAACAAATTGGTCTACTGTTATTTTGCATGTCAGTTAATACACGTTTTGTTCGTGGTGTTCGAACTTTAGTTTTCTGTGAAGTGTGTTGCGGACTGTTGTTTGTCTTTGTCTTTTAACCCATGATGATATTTATCGTTTTCAACTCGATTGTCCCCTTAACGTCTTCTCACTTTTTTGTATATATTATATATAAGTAGAAATACATAACTATTTCGAGCAGAACGAGTGTATTGTATTGTTTCTTTCTGTAGACTGCAAATCAAAAGTAGATATCTTGAGGTTGTTTGTACCATTTGTTGTCTCGTTGACTTATGCCTCGGATCTCATTTTCTCTTATGTAAAAACGGCATCCTGTTTATTACCTTTGCCATATAATTTCAATGTTTCTTTAGTTTATTCACGAGATTGCACAGTGTGTTCTAATGCAAAACCTTAGAATTTATACTAGTAATGGTCCAATACAAGAGCAGTGTTAATACAATGTGTTATCAAAGCTTAACATTTCTTCTCTTAACTTAAAAGTTGTGAAAGTGAAACGAACCCGATTAATGAAGTGTTGCTTTCTTATCAACCCGTAGTTACATGAAACATAAAAATAAGACCAAAGTTCAAATGTTAGTTAGTCAAAAATCAATAATAGCTTGTTTGAATCTTAATTAGGGCTATGATTAGTAGGTTTTAGTACCAAGTGTAAACTTCTGCAAGCAGGATGGATGGATGACAGGCTATTTGACGTCCAGTGGCAAATTAAATGCATATTCAGGATAAGAACATGACACCTTGTTCTGATTTCTGGGACTACAAGTCTACTCTTTCTGCTAAATGTCACGTGCTTAGCGGAGAATCAACAAATACCAATCTGCCTGGAATGGAACCCAGTACCCCACCCCATTCGAGGTGACCATTGAAGCGGTTCTACTAGGAGGAAAAGACACAAAATATTATTTTAAGTATGACATGAATTTAGTGAAAAGAATTATAGGCGATGTTTTAATAGATTTTTCATTATTCTCGCCACAAACCTCGTATATACCAAATGTCCAAAACAATGACGTTATCACACTTCAACATCATTAACATGATTTTTTTTCAAGCACAATTTATCATGCAGGAAATAGGGTGCTATTACTAATTGTTTCGTGACAGTTTATATATCCTGAAGTTTAACTTGCAATGCTATTCCCCTAATGCATTTTTTCAATACTTATATTATCTTACAGAATATCATTATTTCAATATTTTCGTTTTTGTCTTCAACGGTTTTGTACTTGTTTTTACTTTTTATGATGCTTTCAAGAGTCATCTTAATGAGACTTTAATTATGTATCCTTGGCTTTAAACATTCATATTTGAGCGTTCCTGGTGAAGGTAGATACAAAAAAGTGCTTCGGACACATGCAATTTATAAAGTGCTGTTTTCATTTTTTTATCTTATAAAAAGTCGCCTTTTAATTGTATATGCAATTTAACCAACAGTAGGAATAATTAATGCTCAACTGACTAAACTGATTACTGAATAGTTGTCAATATGCAATCAATAGTAATGTTTAATGTTATTTTATAAGCGAAAGACTATACGGTTCCCGAACAAATAGTTTGTATTACTCAATCAAATTAAATTTAAATTCTATCTTCAATGATTTTAATAACAAGTTTGCGTTCAATCAATCAGTTTATCAAATGATGTCGACTTTGAAGGATTTCATTTTTGTACTGATTCTAAAAGGTAAGTTACAACAACAACCAGAACAATACTTCTGATAATATAATAATAATAATAATAATAATAATAATGCTGATATTTTTATTATTCTATTTTATGATTATCGTTAGCATCTTTTGCGATAAGCCATACTTAATATTATTGTTGTGCACATTCACGGTACTACAATCATTCGATACCTATATCATGGCATTGCACAAGGTCATGATTTTCTCTGACTGTAAATGACGTCTTTAAACTAAATCTGTTGGATGTGTACTGATTGATATTATAGTCTTAGAGATATGATTTTTTTATTAGTTGTTATTGGCTTTGAACTAGCTGTCAGTAACTCCAAGTAGTCTCAGATCTGTACCTTGTGTCTTTTTTGTTTTGAAGGATGTATTATATATATAGTAAATACCCTGCCACGTCCGGTCTGTGTTTTTGTTTGATGTGTTTCTCCTTTGTATCGATCTGATGAGTTAATATAAAAATAAGAAGATGTGGTATGTTTGCGAATGAGACAACTCTCCAAAAGAGACCAAATTACACAGAAATTAAGCCCTTTTCAACTGATTTTATAGTTTGTTCTTATGTTGTACTGTTACACCACTGGCATAGGTTAGGGGGGAGAGGGTGCCGCCAAATTCTTTGTGTGTCTGTCCCAAATAAGAAGCCTTTTGTTCAGTGGTTGTCGTTGGTTCGTGTCTGTCATATTTTTTTTTTTTTTTTTGTAAATTGCTTTGTTATAAATTAGGCCGTTAGTTTTCTCCATTGAATTATTTTATATTTGTTATGTCAGTGCCTTTTATAGCCGACTGAACGGTATTGGTTTTTCTCATTGTCGAAGGCCGCACGGTTGCCTATAATTGCTAACGTTCACTTCATTTGTACTTTGGTGGATAGTAGTCTCATTGACAATCATGCCACATCTCCTTTTTTATATTTAAAGTTTTTCTACTTTTTATCCCTGTTACGATTTCTACTACAGTTGCCATTTAGCAAAAAGCAATCACAAACCAATCAATCGTTCTACAGCTGCCTATTCTACCACCACTAATGATTTATACATACCACTAAAAATCAGTTGTAGTAGTATAAAGTTGTAGACATACTTGTTGGTGACATACAGTGGCTTAAACCCAGGTCATTTGGACTTTGTTGATAGTTGTCTTATTGGCAATCATACCACATCCTTATTTCATATACATTATATACTTTTTGGGGGGCCGGGGGGGGGGGGGGGGATGGGGGGGATGAAGTGTTGAGATCTCAGCAAACCAGTTAACCCCGTCGCATGTTCATGTGCCAGTTTTTTATTCTGGAAAATTTTCAGTTGTTGCCTTATGTCATATCTTAATGATTCGCTAATTGGAGAATTCAGTGTTCATGGCAGATTTTTGATTGTTTCAGTTAAATGTATTCGAAACGTTTCAAGCGATTTAAAAGTTTGAAATATTGTTAGGTTGCTGTCTTATGCATATATATACGCCCATCGTCGATCATATTTTTTAAACTTTCATAAAAATGATTTTAATAATTACTTTATTAAACACCTTTGTTTAGTGTTATCATAAATGAAAGGAGGCTATTTATATGCCTATCAGACAGCAACCCAACGACAACGACACATTTCTATTTATTTTTATTTTCAACACCATCTGATGGGGAAATCTGTTATGCATACAGAGTAATACAGAGTAATAAGACAGTTTGTTAGAACGTGTATGATTACATAAACTTTTGCCATAATATTTCAGCTGAGGCGAAACAGAAAATTCAGCACAGTTGATTATATGCCAGACGTCAAATTAGTTTACTTTTGACCATGAGAGTGTTTGATTTGACCTGCCGCGCCTTGCGCTTCTCATTCAAGATAAATTGGTCGACTTTTTTGTACTCTAAAATGTAATGTGTCATTACACATTCAAGTCGAATGTTAAATTAGAGTTGTTATGTCGAAAACATACAATCGGAAATATACAATAATGTATCAAATGAATTTAATGACATCACATAATAAACAATAGAGTTTTTTCGATTTCATATTGATAGACGATCATTTATTAAAAGCAACATTTAATTACTTATCCTTAAAATACATTGCTTGTTGATTTTGTTTACCTCCATTGTTTGAGCAAAGTATGTGTCTATCGAATATATTAAAACAAAGACAATAATGCTTCATTTGACATTTGCGTTAAAATAAAGGATGGAAACATTTTATGTCTAAACTGTCAGGTCATTCAAGATTTTATAACAATAATTAGAACACAAGAGAATGAATGATAAATTATATGTTCGTAAAGTGGCATAATGGCTAATTTCCGACGAACAATTTGGGTTTTGGAATCATCAGTCGCATGCAAAACGATGAAATATTGATGAATTAATAAAAGGGGTTCTCGGACAGTTTCTGGGAGTAATGATACAGTTGTTTCTCGCAAACAGTTGACATTATTATTATCATTTATAATCAGAATAATTACTAAAGCGCAAGAAGCGTTTTAGTTGTCTACTACGATGGTAGTTTCATTGTATGTAAAGTAAATATCTTGCAAAAAAGGTACCATCATCTAAATACTATCAAGTTAAACTCTTCCAAAAAATTGAAACACGAGTAAATTCGACAAACTCTGCTTAGTCCGAGTTGGACGAACCAAATCAGGTTCGATTCTTAGTTTCTTGGACCCAAGAAAACTCAGACCGTCTTAAAACACATATAAGGACAGTCTATTGAGACTGACCCACAAACAATGATGCATTGTTTAATCGATTTGAAAAGATACAATGAAGACAATCCGGACCATTTATAGACACTACTAGATCTTCAAAAGCGACAATTCACTTCGTACGGTCCTCAAAAAAGAAAAGAAAGCCCAAACAACATGCATGATAATATCTGAACTAATTTATACCACAAAACCATAGTACTTATTTATGCTAAACAGTACACCAAAGGAAAGGGCTTGGCTCATTAGAAGGACACAAAGCAAAAAATGAACTTACAAAATAGCTAAACATCACATTAAAGACATAAGGCACCAACATTTTTTTCTCGAGTTTATTCAACAACTTACTATTTTTTTCAATAACGTACAGGAACAAGAATTTTATTTTGAAACTCGGCGAAAATGTTTAAAAAAAAGCACACATCCTAACAAATAGGTGAGACTGAAATGTTGCTTAAAAATGAAAGTTCATAACATAAAATATTAGTTGCATCTTTTTCGTCGTGAGGTTTAGTTCATTATCATTATCATTTACTGGATGAAGGTCGAGATATGAAGAAGATTTAACAGTATATGTGGTACCATACGAATCAATGTAGTAGATACGATCAACATTGACTTGTAATTAAAATTACATTGATAAATCCGGTGCGACCGGAGCGTTTTCTTGGTTCACCTTCATCAGGAAAGCTCTTATTCAAACAATTGAAATCAAAGGCAACTTATTATTATTCATATTATGAAAGAACGTCATCTGTATAAGGGAACGTAAAGTTAAACAAAACCATGTTAGCTTCCTCCAATCTTCTTGAGAAGCTACTGTGTGAAACCTGCCTCGTACGAATAAAAGTATAATTCGGAAAGAGAAGAAGCACAGTTGAGTCCTTTGGGGATGACGACCTTCTGTTAAAAAACACAAAGCGTTCAACAATTGTTGTCAACAAAAACAAAAAGAGATCAACCATCTTGAACGATGACCGTTTCAGAGAACTTTTTGTTTGATTCAGGGTGTTTTTAACAAAGAATATCAATTATGTGAGCATGCCTGGTGAAAAGTAAACAAGAAAAAAAAACGCTTTGTATGTACTTAATGCACCCATTCACAAATGGTCTTACATATTGGAACTGTTTTTGATTCGGTCGACAAGAGGGTACCAGAGAGGACACTGAGACTGGGAGTGGAAATAATTTATGAACAGTAAATCAATATCCGCTATCCATCACACAAGCCCCATCTACAGCCCCAAGTACCGATTTAAGAGTACTTACACTTACTGAAAATCGTTTCATAGTCAATTATAACCTTTATTTGAATGGTTGATAGGTGCATTTTCGAGTTTTGTTTTGGCTTCGATACATAAGAAATTCAAAAATAGTATTGATATTCATTAATATGAATTCTTTGTTAATTTACTTAAGGAATGGATTGAATGAATTCATATTTTTTTCGTTTTTTTTAAGAATATTTAAGATTATTTGAGTGTTTGTATAGACTGCAGTTAGCTCTTTAATTTATTGATGTTTCACGACCATTCTGAATTAAATATACATGTTCTACAAAGATGGAATAAGATATTTGTTATTCTGTTAAAATGTTAACAAAAAATTACCAAATAGAAACACTTTTAAAAAGATGTCTATAATAGCCCTTACATAAACGATTCAAATATCAGTTTCTTTTTTATGGGGAATTTTATCAAAGAGTTTTATATTCTATAATCGATTAGATTTGATATAAGTATTGTGGATATTTGCTTGAAAAAAAAAACAACTTTGCATATCTAAGTAAAACAAATCAATTTGTCAGTAGACATTTTCCCACTTCCTACACCTTTACAGTGAAATGAAGGTGACGAAAATACGTAATATGCCTTATGTAATAAAATTAAATCTGAATTTCATAATTTTTATTTTATGCGCATGCAATGAAATGTAAAATAAAAAAAAAAGTCCTGAATTTATGCTTTGTATACACAATGCAATTTGTATACTTATTGGATGAAATGCAGGTGATTTTTTTAATCATAGTTTTTTTAAATAATTATAAAAATAATAATTACATATCATAAATCATTATTGATATTGGGAGCGGGAGGGTTTTGAAAGTGAATATCCTGGCCTGGTTAGAGCTGAAAATAAATAACATTGCCTTAGACAGGATGAAAATGAATATTTTAAGAAATTTAAAAAAGAGTTGTGTACATAAGGGAAATTAAATTTTCGCGGAAAAAATTAAGAATGCGTAGCAAAAGATGAAAATTAATAAGCCACAAATAAAATCCTCCTGCTCCCCCATTTCCACCCGAAATATCAAATGGTCGACCCCTTATTCTACAGCAGATGGTTTAAATTTCTGACCAGTTGAACAGTTTGTTTAGATAAAACAAATTGCAATTTAGTCAGACTTTTGAATGAGCTGCAAATCTGATCCCATAGTTATTTGCACAGTTGAACTCGATATTCAAAATTTGGCTCACAAGAATTTAATGAACCGATGTCACTTGATGTTGGTTTGATAAGAAACAAAAATTGTAAAACATATCGTTGATATTCTCTTGTTATGTTCTTCACAATGGGCGTGTTTAAAGTGTCATATTGGCATCTGAATTACAGGAAAATGCCCGAAGAGCTTTGTTGTAATTACAGTGACTTGATTGTATGTTTCTCTCTCCACCTATTCAATTGTCGTCGTAAACATTTTCAATGTGTTTTTGGAAGCTACATTGCGAAATGTACTTATATATAGCTATGTTTTACTCAATTAAATTCCAGAAGGACAGTAAATGAAATAATGCAAAGAGTACTACATATCCATGATGACGCAATATCATATAAGTTTTATTAAAAATTAACATTACGTTGGTTGCAATGAACTACCATGATTTTCCAGTGAAATAAAAACCGATAATTTCACATGTGAAATAAACTCGATAATTTCACTCTTCTGACGTCATACAACAATAGGTTGCCGATAACGTTGCATCAAAGAAAAATGTAAATGCGTAGAAAAAGATATAGTCCTTTGCATTTTCTACTATTTCTATCAAAACGCCCATTGCCAATGTAATAAAAAGTATAACTAATAAAAGAATTCAAATATCGTAAAATATTCAACTCGTGACGGAACAACACTGATAATTAACTCATGCACCACGCGCATTCGTCAATTAGTGTGATGTTTGATCACTCGTTGATTATTTTTCTATATTTGAATTCTTCGAATAAATATAAATAGAATTAGACGTCAGAGACAAAAACTATCTTGCAATGATCAGTATTTCTTTTTTTAAGAAAGGAAATGTTAAAGTACTAGTACAACTGAAATAGACATTGGATTGTTGTAATATTTACCAACACAAACAATTAACACAACACGATAGAACGAAAGTGAACTAACATTATTATACAGTGAATTTACATAATGATATTTTGAATTAAATTGCCAATCATGAGACACTGATATTTTCAGCATTGCATGATGTAACTGTGAAAAGTATAGATCAACAGATAATTATCCTCTCTTTTAATCAAATCTAATAAAATATTTTTCATACAAATATTGGCTTTTAAATATTTTATCCGAACATAAATAAGAGTCAAGAAGCCGTGGTCATTTAATTGAAAGTAATTATTTAATTTCTATTTTCATTTTTTTAAATGATTAAAAACTTAACAAATTGACAAAGTGTCTTTGCATAACAAAATGAATTAAATCAATTTTCGATAAATAACGATAATAATTGGTTCAAAATCAACATGCCATAAAGATGATAAATGAGATAACATGCCATTTACGGATTTTTGTTTAATCAAGGTAAATCAATAACTAATTAAAAAGAATAACACAAATTACCGAAAACTGTTGGACTATACAACTGACCACACAAATCATCAAAACAGCCGGAAATAAAAGTTGTAAAATAAGCAGGAAAAAAAAACGAACAGCAAATGATTCAGAGGTTTTTCGTTATACACATGTATCAAAATGTCTTTTTCTTTTTGTCATCCACCTGATGCATGTTATGCTATGCATATGTAGAAATACCGCATAAAGTTAAAGGCATATTTTTAGAGTTTGCGCTAAATACAGTACATTATTACTTAGAATTTATTGCTATTTCTTCATTTAAGTTTTTTTTTGGTACGATTCTTTTTATATTTTATTTGCTGATATTTTTACATTTCAGCTGATGATACCTAGTCATGATAGCGTTGTGATATGTAATTGCAGACTACAGTTATCTAAAACACACCAAAAATTAAAATTTCTTATCAGAAATCTTTTAAGAGACTTCTAGCATTTTAATTGTATGCTATTACATATTGTAGTGAACTGTATAGATGCTACTGAGGTATTATGGGGAAACAAAGAAAACTTGAATGGTTATTCCTTTAATAAAAACGAATCTTTCACAACAACAACACCTTATAGAACCGATTGTGCACGGTCATGTTGGGGTGTACCACTCTGTATCAGTTTTACCTATGATAGCAAGACTTGTAAAGGATATACTGAGGAATTCGTTGATGAATCAAATTCTATTGCGACGGAAAATGCAAAGTATTATGTGGTTAGCAGTGGTACGTAATAATTTGAAGTAATATCACAAATCATCTGCAGTAGAAGTTCAACTGAAACAAATGCTGGACTTTATAAATTGGTTGAAGCACAAATCATTTGATTCCGTATATACAAAATTATATAATTATTAGCTTCGCCCTCATATTAAATCAACACTATTTTTACACCTTTTTCGGGTACTTCGTTCAAACGTACATGTTTTAAAAGATCGCTAATTCATTAATTTGTAAACGACTTGACTTATATGTTGTACACGCAAATAATTTTTCAAAAAATTTACTTTTTCGTATTGATGTTCGAAAATCATTTTGTTTAATATTCAAGGTCTTTTAGACAAACGATGAGACTATCAATATTATATTTTTCCACATGCCAGATTTAAGTTAGATATTCATCTAAATATTCATTTAGATTTTGTCTACAAATAAATTAAGCCATTCAAATTTGACTCTCAGAATTGAACATAAAGTTTATGCGTAACCCATTTTTACAATTTTATATTCATTTCAGTTATAGTCTGAATGACTTTAAAAGTAACAAGGGTAAATCCCAGAACTGAAAATAAAAATGAATATCAACTTTAGATTGTAAACTCATACATCAAACTGAATGTAAGGCCAAACTGGATATCTGACTGACTTTTGAAATGAAAGATGTAGAATATTTGAATTTAGAAAGAATCTCCAAACAAATATCAAGTTCAAAATTTGGTGATTATGTTGACTGCTTTTATCCCAAACAACTTGATACAAAGAATACAACATATATAGTTAATAAAATCGAGAATGGAAACGTGGAATGTGTCAAAGAGACAACAACCCGACCAAAGAACAGGCCAAGGTTACCGATGGGTCTTCAACACAGCGAGAATTCCGCACCCGGAGGCAGGCTTCAGCTTGCCCTAAATAAAAATGTGTACTAGTTCAGAGAAAATGGACACCACACTAAACTCAAAAACATATAGATGAACCAAATTTAAAAAAAAACATACAAGACTAACAAAGGCTAGAGGTTCATGACTTAGGACAGGCACAAAAATGCGACGGGGTTAAACATGTTTTGTGAGATCTCAACCCTCCCCCTATACCTGTAGCCAATGTAGAATAAACAAACACATACCAATACCTACAGTAAAACTCTGTTTAAAGGAAGTCCTAGTCCGATGTTAGAAAAGTTAACAGAAAAAAACTAAGCAAAATGATAACATAAATTAACAAAGGACTACTAGCAGTTACTGACATGCCTGCTCCGGACCTCAATTAAACTGATTGAAAGATTATGTCTAGATCTTCATCTTATAAAAATCAAGCACAATCCCTCCCGTTAGAGGTTAAGTATCATACCATCATAAAATATATGAGAAGAACATAACCCGTATCATGCCAACAACTGGTTTTAGAATAAAAGTGTTTATTTCCGATGCAAAGACCCTATGAGTGAATCAATATTTATTCCAAAAAAAATGCCATCTTTAATGACCTGACAACAGTTTTGTAACTATATCCCTTCTGAATAAGTCTGTTTAAAGGTTTGGTTAGCTTTTGAGGTGAATGACGACATTTGTGTGCTTTGTATAGAATATTACCATAAAAGATTGGATGTGAAATACCTGAACGTATAAAATGTCTACACGTTGATTTATATTTACGAATTATAGTTTGTCTGGGCTCTTGGTCATAAAACTGTACTCAGTACTCGGAGGAAAAAAAATATGCTCGAAACACCAAATCCAGTATTTTGATTGGTTGATTTCTGAGTCGGAGTACTATAATCGTACTCGAAATTTTTATGACCGCAAGGGTTGATATCTTGACTTACATCAAGATATTGACAAATAAGGGTCGGTAGAGAACTAAATTTTACGACAAATTTCAAAAGAGATGATTTCACTTTCCCAATAAACTTTTGATTTCGATGTAGCAAAATTCAAGCAGCGTCTGCTAACGGAATATATTTTAGTTGACCGTTATGGAATATCTATATCACAAATATGGTCCAGTTGTCGTACGGACAATCCCGTCCCTATTTTTTTATATCGATTATGGCATTACCGAAAGCGACTTATTGCCGAATTGTCACTTGCTTGAGCAACCCGAGTTCACCCCAGTATTTGGTGGGGTTCGTGTTGCTAAGTCTTTAGTTTTCTATGTAGTGCTTTGTTAATGTTGTTTGTCCTTTCGTTGTTGTTATTTTTTGCCCAATGTTTTGTCTGTTTTGATTGGATTTTTGATTTTTTTAATACCCTTGGTCTCTTTTTTTTTGTCGAAGAGCAAAACAAAAGCCAACGGCAAATCATGTTGTGTTATTTTATTGAAAATAAAATGTACTAAAACAGGAATAAAACACTAAATAATGTTTATATTTTGTTGATTTTCATGTATGTCTTGATAAATGATGTAGGAATTGATTTTCATATAAACCGTCCTTTTCAATGTTTTTCTCATGCTTAATATTTTTCAGTTGTGAAGTTAAATGCACTGATGTCGTAAAATTTGATTATAATGAATAATAATGAGAAAAATAAACGCGTGGCAATAACTTTTATATCTTTAACATTATATAGTGACAGGATATACGGACTGTAGTGATGTAAAACACAAGTATAATGGAATATACAGAATTTTTCCTGTTGGAATTCCTGAAGGACTGTTAGTATATTGTGACATGGAGACCGATGGTGGACATTGGACGGTAAGTTGTATATCAACAGTGATCTTTTGCTTTTATATTTCCTTATAAACTTTGAAATTGATGTGTCTTGTCTGATTGGGTTGTGTTTTTTTCACTTTTGTAGTTAATACAAAGAAGAATTGACGGGTCTGTCGACTTTTACAGAACATGGCAGGACTATAGCAAAGGGTTTGGAAGTCTTATTGGAGAATTCTACCTAGGTAAATATTACACGTTTACAGAAAATCTTATGAAAGTTTACAATGAATTTGTTCTTTAAAAGCATGACGTTAATGCTGCTAAAACTCTTTTTTTATTTTTAAATATTATTGAATATAACTGTAGAAATAATTCTTGTGAAAATACTCATCTTGTTCAGTAAAATTGGTACCGTAAATATCATTAATATTCCTACTATGAAAGTCTTTCAGAAAAATTGCTTATGCACAATAAAGGATTTGATAAATGTTAATAACGGTGTATTTCCAAATTGTGGATGGCAGATCATGTACGAGAAGTTTTTTTTCTAACGTATTAATTAGTTTGCTACTCAAATTTTCTCTTGAGTCTAGCACGAAGATTTTATTCCAGAAACACATTTTGTGCTATCATAGATGGGTATTATATGCTTTATAACAACAAGAAATGTGAAACAGTCTGTACTTTTACAGAACAGAATATTCTTAATTATATTTCCTGTCACAATTTTGAAACACTACTAAGGAATATAGAAAACAACATTCTGAAATGTTCAGCTGATGAAAGAATGACTTACAGTTTTCATGAATACGTGCTGCATTAAGTCATTAAATAAACCCAAGTAATTTTAAAAAAGAAATTACCACTATAATAATATAATTTATAGATATTAATTTCTTTATTACTCAAGTAAAATCAATTTAGTTTTAAGTTATCAGATGCTTTCGAATAAAAAATATGCATTTTAATTCAATTCCTTTCATTTGGTTCATCTGACGATCAACGTGAAGAGCCTAGTGGAACTATTAATTTAAGATTTGTCATAAGTCTTTTAAACATTTAATGATCGTATGCTATGTGCATTTACATAGTTATTACATCAAGTCTATTAGAAAAAATATGTAATTGAAACAACCATTACGCAATTTCTATAGCTATGACGTGCCCATGTTGGTCTATTGATTACGTTTTTTAATTGTGTAGACAGCTATGTGTTTTCAAACAACACAATCGTAGAAACTGCAGTTTATAATTGCGAATAACAGTGATATTTTCAATCTGCAGACTACGAGTTGCTTGTCAACTTTAAAAGTACAAATTGACATCCAAAATTTGTCAGATTGTACAATACGAGTTAGGAATGAGACACTGACAATGGAAAACAGCAACCATCAATTCAAGTTTTGAGTCGTTCATCAATGTAAGATTTGAGAAAAAAATACAGATGATAAGCAAACTATCTCATCTCAGTAGTATCCTTTTTTTTTTAACAAAAAGGGATAATAGGGGAGAAATCCAGAAACGTTTAGTTGACGAAGGACAAACGTCACTTATTGGACACGTCCACACTTCACTACAAAAGTCAAAAAGTCTGAAAAGACCAGTTTTTGTCTGAATTTGCATGAATTTTTACTCGACATTCTTAATTTGTCTGAATAATTTTTAAAAATTCTTGACATAGTATGAATTTGTCTAATAAGGTTCTTGATTTTTCTTGACAAGTGTCTTGACAGTATGAACATTGTCTTAAAATTTCTCGACACTTCCTGTATCATCTGATAAGAGTCTGGATTAGTCTCGACCAATTCTTGACTGTCTTAAATTTGTCTCGATCTGTCTTGACATATTCTTGACATTCTTAATAATGTCTGAATATGTCTCGACATATTCTTGACATTCTAAATAATGTCTGAATATGTCTCGACACATTCTTGACAGTCTTAAATATGTCTTGACACTATCTCAACAGTATAAATTTCGCCTGAAATGTGAACAGACTTATTCTGCACTGTTTATGACATTCTATTGCTGTTATATACTCCTTTTTATTATGGCTAAACTAAACTTTGAAGAATCAAGGATTAATTTGGTATAGTAAGATACCCTTTTGGTGCAACTAAGTTGGAATACCCTGAATAATCCCCCATGTAGTTTAATTTTGATTTATTTTTATTAAACATTTAAGTAATTGTTTTCACTTGGAATATAAGTCGAAGGTATTGACAAACAGCATTTAGATTTTTGCCGTTCGCAAAACTGCCAGTCAAATTTGCTTTACTAAAATAGGTGTCTTGTATCTCTTTTGGACCCCACAATTCATCTTTTGGGTTTGTGTGGCTAAAAAAAGAGGGGGGGGGGGGGCTTTCGTTTAGGTCAAAGAATTTGTTCCCATCTTGATTCAAAAACCTTATTCATTTTTTAGAACGGTAAACGGACAGAAAGTCACAGGACAAAAAGTCACAGGACATAAAGTCACAAATTTGATAGGACAAAAAGTCACAGGACAAAACGTCACAAATAATTTGTTGACAATTGTTTGAATATATAAGAGAAAAGGGTTGAAATGTTTTCATTTTATTACATATATTCAATTTACAGTTTATGAAACAGCTCATTAGCCTTGATAAATGAAAATTTATTAAATTTTAATCATGCAAAGGATATATTTCTTGGCACCATGAAGCCGTTTAAGTACCAGTCCACTTTGACATTTTGTTTTCTTAACAATTATTTGTTCATTATTGATATTTATTAAATAAATTTTAATTACAAAGTTAATGTATATATAATAGTTTAAGAAAAATACCAAAAAATGTTTTTTTTCAAATAAGTGTTTTCCTATTCAAAGAAAAATATCTCAAAACTGAATTGTGACTTTTTGTCCTGTGACTTTTTGTCCGTGACTTTTTGTCTGTGACTTTTTGTCCTGTGACTTTCTGTCCTACATTCTTTTAGAACAACCCAAAAACATTTTTTATTCAAATTTGAGTGTTGAATTTTATAATTTTTTATCAAAAATAAATATTTGTGATAACTCCTTCTTGAAAAGAAAAAAATGTTTAGATCTATATTATGCATGTCTGTTTGAGAACCATTTCATAAGACCGATGATTTCTATAGAAATCATTGATGGGACCCATTATAAATACATTTTTTTTATTATTCCTGGAGGAGATAATAATTTTCTTTTAATCTTTGGGAATTATTCAATTTGTTTTTATGTTAAAATAATTAACTTCATAATTTTGATGAAGAAAATCCATTTCAATTCAATTTTTTTTCATCAAAATGATGATTTTCATTTTCATCTATCAACAAACTTTTTAAATTGTAGTGGCATGGTCGGTCAACTGCTAAGTTGTATGGCTTATTACAGGTAAAGCAATAACTTCTATTTGACAGTTGCGTGTACTCTGGGGTGTGGAATTCCTTAGTTTTAATGGGAACATCCTGTCCATGTGTAATACTTAATATATTCCAACAGATGACATTACACAAATTTTTCTTCTGTTAAATGAATGATTTGTATATCATCATAATTTGCTTTTTATATAAACCACATTTTGGTATAATAATTATTTACCATATCAACATTGAATATTATGAATGTAGAATGAAATATGTCTACAGTGTGATTGGTTTGAATCATTTAATTTATAAGATTTAGGAATCATTATTTAAAAACCCACATTGAAATTGTTTTATATCAACACACCCACATTTGAATTATTTTATACTTTAGATTTCATAGCCATATTTGCATTTGAAAAATATTTATATACCCAAATTTTCAATTATTTTACATGCCCAACTTTTATTTTTGTTGTAAAGAAGTGTAACTTGAAACAACAGTATATCATATAAAGAGAAATAAAGATTAAAGTTATATCATGAATATTGGTCATGATTTGTAAAACTCAGAACTGTCAAGTAAATTTAAGACACGATTCAAAATGTTCAGAATATGTCAAGCCATACTGAGAAAAAATAAGAATGTCGAGAATATGTCGAGAAATTTCAAGACAATATTCAAATGTCAATAATTTGTCAAGAAATGTTAAGACCATATTCAGAATGTCGAGAATATGTCGAGTAAATTTCATACAAATTTAATATAAATGAGAATTTGTCAAGAAAAATTAAGACACAATTCATACTTTTGGAGAATGTCGAGTAAAAGTTCATGCAAATTAAGACAAAAACTGGTCTTTTCAGACTTTTAGACTTTTGTAGTGCTTACACCATAACTTTACTTAATTATCAGAATTATCTCACATACACATGCTTTTGTGATGATAAGTTATAAAAAAAATATTTTTTGCCTGTTAATCGAGGGGAAATCCAATTTAAATCCACAGTTCCTCCAGGACAAATGCATAGAAACGACCGATGCTTGCGTTAAATATTAATCATCGATATGTTATGCCACAAATCGAAACGAGTCTGTTAGCTGATTAACATTTAATTGCTTAATGTCGATCTACCAATTAATATACGAAAATTTTAATCTCAGTAGAATTTCAAACAGATTTTTATTGGATATTTGTTTGTATTTTAACTGATAACAACTGAAATACGAATCGTATGAAACTAAACGTTATTCAAGTTCATCTGGAGTGAATGACTTATATCTCATACAGTAAGTTTGATGAAACTTGTTGATTTATTTTGAAAATGTTACAAACTCAATCAGTTTAAAGTTAAATTCGTGGAGTCGTTGTATTTTTTCTGGTTTGAGTGTATGGCTATGCTATTGACACTTATTCTCGGTGCCGAATTAATGCAGACAAGGTTTTGCTATTAAAATAAATAGGCTCCTTACGGTTGATAAACCATCTACGTGGGGTGTTACGTCATAGTTATGCATTGAATGCACGACGTAAACCATCTACGTGGGGTGTTACGTCATAGTTATGCATTGAATGCCATAAGTATTGTGCGTACTTTTTATTCAACATAGAACTTAACATTTCATTGGATATAGATTTAACTATTTATATAGCTTCAAGTAATAAATTTTGACTTAGCACACTGCTTGGATTCAGGTATCGATAGTTTTGGTGTGAAAAGGGGATGATACGATACCTTAAGTTTTGTATTAGACTATCAGTAATTAATAGGTAGACGACTATTGTACTTATATCCAGCGTGTTGAAATTTTCAATAAGTAATGTTATGACTTTCAACCTCACTCTTTATATCCAGCGTGTTGAAATTTTCAATACAGTAATGTTATGACTTTCAACCTCAATTCTTTGTTAAAATTTATTTAAAGCTTATATGCGGTCGTAATGATAAATCGTGCAATTTAGAAAAAAATGAGATGGTATGATTGTCAACTATCGACCAAATATCCAAATTACAAAAATGCAAACAACTACAGGTTACCGCAGCCAGCAAACTCGATCCGATAAGTTAGCCACAGAAGGCCATGGATAACAAAATGTGAAAAAATAAACAACAAAAGGCCACGGCTAAATTTAGCTGAAACAACTTATAGAAAAAAAGCCATTTCAGACGCCATTCAACAAAAGTCAATAAACCATAGGCAGGCAAATTCGGAAGCCTAAGGTCCAAAATGCATATCAGCACCAAACTTTAGATTAGACACCAGTGAAACAGCAAAGCATTTAAACAACCTCGAAATCACGTAGAAACGGTTGACCGACCAGACTGAGAACAACAACAACTATAAAAAAAGCATCAACGCACCGACTCAAAGCACTTACAGCCACTGATTGCCAGTTCTAAACATGATCTGAACTGATAAACATTCCATTGCTTTCCTAAAACATAAATTTGATTCGGTTTACCTTCAACTGATATAAATTCAAGACGTCATATGTAGTATGAGAAACGTATAGAGTTGTACTACGCCATAATATAAGTATCGACCGGAAGTACAACCAAAGATGTGTTCAACTAGAAAGCAAGACTCCTTTAGCTACGAATTTGACTATGGAAATTAAAAGCATAGTTAGAACTGTTAAAACAAGTTTTAAAGATGATTGTTATATTAATAAGCATTCAGAATAGGTTTATTCAAAAGGACAAAACGTACCGATTTAAGAGTTTTCATATTTCTGATACTGAACTCTTTTGTCAAGGGAGAACATCAAACATGTTTAAAGGTTTCATATTGTGGCAGGTGATATTTAACAAAATCAATAACCTGATAAATTTTCAAAAGGCTTGTATGCAGACTTTGGCAAAACCATTAAATTAATTATCCACGAAAATACATTTTTTCGCGATCTACAAAAGTAAGAACCCACGACAATAAATGAATCCACAGTAATTGGATTGTATTTTAGTGTGTTTCATAATAGAAACAATTGTGATTTGTTCTTTGTTTCAACAGCAACCCGGAAGATTTGTACAGATACAAGCACACTTTCAAATCAACTTATGTATATTTGCATTAATTAGTAAAGGCTTTAGGTATTTTATGGTGTCAAAATATTTGACTTATTAATTGAAGTTAAGCATGATACACATATTCATGATTTTGCAGAGCCAATATGACGTTAAGATGGGTTTAGGTGCCCAAACCTCGATTACGATTTAAATGAATAATTACGTCAGCGGGAAACAGATAAAAAGTGATATCGGGGAGGATGAAAATATCAACAAATACACTTATTGCCATGTGTACATAACACAGGCCGTATAAATGTTTATTATTATACACTCGCAACTAATGTATCTAAAATATTTTGACATTTTCCTCACTTAGGTAAATTCTTAATACCTTGCAGGTAATGAGTACATCCATGTATTGACACACCAGGCTGATTGTGAACTACGTGTCGACCTCCGAAATTCTTTTAATTATAGCTCATATGCATCATACTCAAACTTTGCCATTAGTTCCAATACTACCAGATACAGTTTGAATGTTACTGGCTTCAATACCAACAGCAATGCAGGTACGTAATCTTATCATAACTCTTACATGGAGGTTGTTTTATTTTAGGCTCGTTTTTAATGATGTACATGCAGAAAAATATATTATGCTGTACAAGAGGTCCTTCTGTTAAAACATACATGTAATTACATTTAGTTTGTTAATTCCAAAACCATAACAAACAAAAACATGTAAGGTAATACAGAGTTTAAAAGCTTATATTGATTTCTTTTAATGACTTATTCCTAGCACACTCTCCGTGTCTCAAATAGCTTCATTCTAGATATTCACGTATGTTCTAATGAATTACGAATTATTTCCGTTTAATAATTATTTGTATTACATTGTACATAGTTGCTGTAAAGATTTTAGTTTTGAATTCGGCAACCGCACTCTCTTCATCTTTTGTTTTTTTTTTACATTCGTTTCTTATGATGTACATGCAGAAAAATATATTATGCTGAACTACCCATATCCTCAGTGATTGATATAATCTTGCATCCAGTTCATGTTTAGTTATGGGCATAGAAAACTTTAGAGGAGAGAACCGAATACAAAATAATATCTATACGTTTCAGATACCAAAATGTGGACTAGTATGCACAATGCAATGCACAACAGCTCACTGGATATAGCTCCGAGTTGTTCACAACATAACTAGTCTGGAGATAAAAAAATGACGCATGATAATCAACAATATTGTCATCTGAGATCTATAATTTTATTTTTACCATTGTAATGAAATAGCGAGCACAAATATACAAATCCACTTGCCCTCATTGACCTTTCCTGTGAACATCGCCTCATCAGACGCTAAAGTGAAGTTGTGTTCCGTCAACATTTGATCACATAGTAATTCTTGTGTTTTTTCTAATGTTGTCTCTTGCTCATCAACCCAAAATGCATACATGTAATACCAATATCAAAATCTAAATATGAAAAACCTATCCACATTTTGGTACTAATGGGTGGGAGATGGGGGAACATATCAAGGATCTCATCAACACAAACAGTCAATATGTATTGCCCGACTAAATATAGCCCTTTAACCAACCACTTGGATATTGAAAGAATGAGGATGTATCCCATGTACTTCCGCCAAAGATATCAACCAATGAGGTTATACCCATATCCTCAGTGATTGATATAATCTTGCATCCAGTTCAAGTTTAGTTATGGGCATAGAAAACTCTGTTGTCCATACAGCATATTTGCATGCCAATCTCAAATAACACCACTAGTAAGGCTTTCCCTTAAGGAATAGTATTCCCAAAACTCAAAACAAAAATGTCTTCAACACTTTTATTAAATATTATTCTTTTATTTCTTTACAATGCAACTAACCATTTCTAGATACGTGTACACAGTTCTTTATAAATAGTTTCACAATTCAATAAGTTCTCATGAATTCGACCACATACAAATTTATAAAGTCTCGTTAAGGCAATGAACTCATATCAAAATGAACATTATTTGTATCACATCTTCAGCATGATGAAAGCTTGTTGTAAGCAAAGGGACTTCACCTCCAAGTGTCAACTATGCTGGCTTGTCGCTTACTTTACTGTTGTTGGATCAAACTCACTCTCTACTTCCCAATCAGGAACATTGACAATTGTATTTCCACTTGATTCTTCTCAACTCTGCTAAAACTATATCAACCAATAACAATTTGTTTATTTGTACTTGTACAGCATTAGTCACACTTCGAAAAGGAAAAATCCCTTCGCCTACAATCCACGTGGAAAACCACTAGGGAATCAGTGTCCCTCGAAATGTAGACAAAGAAATTTGAATTTAAAAATTTCACTTTACATAAAATTTTAGTATACATTAGTATACAAAATCATTCAACATTATATTTAGTTGATAAAACAAAACCAAAATATTTCAACAATTAATCTTCCAAGTCAAACAGATTGTTGTGACATCTTTCAACACATCAATGACATTATATACAAATCCACTAGTAAACATCTCAAAATTAGGGGCAAATTTTTAGAATTACTTTCAAATAGGTTCATTTAACATAAAGCTGTTCCATCACATGTTTTTTTTTTTTTTTAATTCAAGTATCGCGCCTTACTGGCATCTTCTGCCTTTCTCTTCAATACAGACAAACATAATTTAGTTTTATATCTATATTTACACCATTTCTTTTTTTTATTATTATATTTCCTGAAATCAAATCATAACGTAAACATGCAATTTGTACTCACCAGATTCTGATCTGAAAAATCCTGTCCTTTAAGGTTGATCCTCATTGACATGAATTATCGTAGAATGTCATATTGCTTCTCCTTCAGACATCAGCTTGTCAGTAACACCCATGATCTGAAAACTAAAACATTCTATTCATATTCTATGTACATTCAAACAGACCGCTGAACGCGGACCTCGACGAAGACACCTTTTAATTCAATACACATCACTCCAGCCAACAAAACTAATACCAAATGACATGTAATTTCACACTTAATGCTTTCCCTTTCTCAATCTTACTATTCTTTTCTAATAAAATCTTATTATACATAAAATATTTTAACGCTATAGCACTTTGCCCGGCGTTTAACCGACAAACGGCATAACAAATATCTGATCACCTGGGTTAACAATATCTACCCATGACAAGGTCTAAATCCCAAAACATTTCACCACCAAGGTAAAAAATGACCACCTAGGTCTATTAAGAAGCCACCAAGGCGAATATAAATAATCACCAAGGTCTTAAAGCCACCAAGGCTAGTATTTTCTTTTTAATGTTGCCACCAAGGCAAATGTAAACAATTATAAAAATGACCACCTAGGTCTATTGCCACCAAGGCAAATATAAATGACCACCTAGGTCTATTGCCACCAAGGCATATATAAATGACCACCAAGATATTAAAGCCACGAAGGCTATATTGCCACCAAGGCAAATGTAAGTAAAAGTTAAAAAATATAATTACTTTGCCGACAACACGTGGAGCACGACCATCCCACAGCTTGGATATTGAAAGAATGATGATGTATCCCATGTACTTCCGCCAAAGATATCAACCAATGAGGTTAAAGAGGTCCTTCTGTTATAACATACATGTAATTACATTTAGTTTGTTAATTCCCAAACCATAACAAACAAAAACATGTAAAGTAATACAGAGTTTAAAAGCTTATACTGATTTCTTTTAATGACTTATTCCTAGCACACTCTCAAATAGCTTCATTCTAGATATTCACGTATGTTCTAATGAATTACGAATTATTTCCGTTTAATAATTATTTGTATTACATTGTACATAGTTGCTGTAAAGATTTTAGTTTTGAATTCGGCAACCGCACTCTCTTCATCTTTTGTTTTTTTACATTCGTGTAGGTTTTAGAGCTTTTAATTACAAATTTACAATGGAAACTTTCAGAAAATTTAACAAACTATCAACGCTTTAAATGTAAAGCCTTCATATGTTAATAATAAAAAGAAAGACATTATTGATTAGTAAAATTAAAATTGAGAATGGAAATGGGGAATGTGTCAAAGAGACAACGACCCGACCATAGAGCAGACAACAGCCGAAGGCCACCAATGGGTCTTCAATGCAGCGAGAAACTCCCGCACCCGGAGGCGTCCTTGAGCTGGCCCCTAAACATATATGTATACTAGTTCAGTGATAATGGACGTCCTACTAAACTCCAAATTATACACAGGAAACTAAAATTAAAAATTATACAAGACTAACAAAGGCCAGAGGCTCCTGACTTGGGACAGGCGCAAAAATGCGGCGGGGTTAAACATGTTTTTTGAGATCTCAACCCTCCCCCTATACCTCTAGCCAACGTAGTAAAAACAAACGCACAACAGTACGCACAGTAAAACTCAGTATAAGAGAAGTCCGATTCCGATGTCAGAATAGGAAACAAAAGAAAATAAACAAAATGACAATAATACATAAATAAAAACAGACTACTAGCAGTTACTGACATGCCAGCTCCAGACCTCAATTAAACTGATTGAAAGATTATGTCTTCATCATATGAATATCAGGCCCAATCCCTTCTGTTAGGGGTTTAGTATTATACCGTCATAAAATATATGAGAAGAACATAACCCGTGTCATGCCAACAACTGGTTTTAGAACAAATGTGTTTAATTCCGATGCAAAGACCCTATAAGTGAATCAATATTAAAGCCAAAATATGCAATCTTTAATGACCTAACAACAGTATCGTAACTATATCCCTTCTTAATAAGTCTGTTTAAAGGTTTTGTTAGCTTTTGAGGTGAATACTGACATTTTTGTGCTTTGTAAAGAATATTACCATAAAAGATTGGATGTGAAATACCCGAACGTATAAGATGTAGGCATCTTTAAGACCTCGTGAATTGGAAGACAATCTTCATCAGCCTATTAAAACAGCAGGAAATGTTTGAATTATTTATTTGTGATAATTAATGTTGATTGCTTTATTTACAGGAGATTCCCTTACAGATGTAAATATGAACAAATTCAGAACATTTGATGTTTCCGATAACAGTATTTGTCCAAGTGCTCGACATGGTGCTTGGTGGTATGGATACTGTTCTCTTGGTAATCTGAATGGAAAATACCACCATCCCGGTACCTTAGCAGCCAGTGGTGTACGTTGGGACACATTAGAAAATGGAATATCATTAAGCTATGCAAACATGAAAATCCGGAGGAAGATTTGAAACCACTTTAACATTAACAAAACATATTTCATTTTTGTCCGTAAGGAATCAGTTTTTAAAATGAAAGTTTATACTTCTGAATTTTTAATAGAATATCAATATCTTTATATTTCTTTATACATTGACTTTAAAGAGATTGTGTTATTTCGAAAGAAAGACTTGTAACATATAGGTAATGTTTATAAAAAAAACATGTTCTTGTTTATCTGTATTCACTTAGAAATTCTATTATACATGTTTGCTTTGCTTTTTTTTAGAACAAAATAGGCAGCTGCAACAGCAAGAATATGTCTGTGAGCTTCTTGAAAATAATCAAAAAGAAGCTGCGAGAATTATAACTGGAATACGCTTATTACCTCAAACCATTTACTGTACATTGAATTGGGATACGAAAGACAAGAAAAATAAATTAAATAATTAATAGCCATTCTGTTTTAGCAAATACAAAAGAACCGCATACTAATATGAGCTAGTCCTGTTATATTTTCACAGATAGGCGCCTTATAATTTGAGAAATGAAAATTATACTTTTCAACCCCAAAAATTGAAAACAACAAACAAACCAATAAATACTTTATTGGGCGTATGACATTTGCGCCGATTTTTAAAATTTTCATTCTTTCATTTGCGCCGATTTCATTTTTTCATTTGCGCCGATTTTATATTTGCTCCTAATTGCATTTACAGTTTAACACAGGTGATTAAGTATTTGTACATGTACTATACCTTGAATGTATATTGGTAAAATCTGGTTATAAACGTTGTTCACTTATGTTTAAGTTAAGAAATCCAGGCCGTTAGTATAATACGTATAATAAAATGCGAACCCTAGAAATGCCCGCATCAGTACGTTAGCCAGAGAAAGAAAAGATGGACTTCATTATTGACAATTACGACAAATATAGAGACGAAATCACAAGAAAGGAACATATTAGATGTGTTGCCTATAAATACTCGGCAAGAACAGATTTATGATTTTAATGAATTCCGTTTTATGGACTTTAATGTTGTAAATAGATTTTTAATTCATCATTTTAGTAAAAACAGAGTGTTTTTATCTTAGGTTTTTACTTCTTGATGTTAAAGAATGTGAACATAGTGCTTTTAAATTGACTTATCCTGCTCAAAATCCTACTTCCACCTCCACGTGGTGAGCAGAGGATAACAGTTATATACATGTTATGATTGAAAATTCATAACATTTGTACAACTGGCGAACGGAAAAGGTCTATAATGATAAATGAAAAATAACATTCACCTGTAATTTACATGTAATTTACCTGTCAAAAAATCGGCGCAAATGAAAAAAAAATCGGCGCAAATGAAAAAAAAATCGGCGCAAATGAAATGCAGATCGGCGCAAATGCATTATTTGGCAACCAAGGCGCCCAAAATTAGCAGAATAGTTACAATAAAATTTTCAAACATAATATGAAAGTAAATTAAAAATAGGTTAAACAAAATATATAACATGATTATTTTTGATTTTATTGATTAATATATAATATCAAAGTAAATGTAATAATTAATTTGTAATTTAGAAATATATATAATATGACCCATTGTTTGTTATTCTGGACCATTTATTTGACAACACACATAATAGTAAAATCATTATTAATTAAATGTAAATAACGACTAACGTAAATGCATATATGATCATATATATATCTATAAGTTTGAACGTTGTTTTCAATTTAGACTTGTTTATATTTTTTCGTTTGGGCTTTTATTATATTTGCCTTCGGTTTTATATGATCCGTTCATTCTATTTCGACTCTTCAAAATTCAATAGTCTATTCTAAATTGAGGTAAATTATATGGCCTTCCAAATACCGTTTCGATTCCTAACATCACTGAAGAGACATTCATTGTCGAAATCCGGATATGGTGTACTAATTTTTGCACCTTTCGTTTGCGGTTTATCATCTTTTCAGCAAGTTTATTGTTTGTTGTTTGATATTAAATTAAAAGTTAAGATCCATTTTGTTACATCTGGTGATCCGTTTATTTGGCAATCGCCAATGGCAGTCAGCAGGGTTAAAGAACATCCGTTGTCGACCTGCTAGTCAAATGCGTTCTGTTTAAATATACCTTTTCACTTTTTTGGTCTTTTGGAAAATGTTGTTTGTGCTGTATTTAGACCCCTCTACCAAGAAATTTGTTTTGCATGCACACGTATAAAAATTGCGGTTTTTATCCAACGCAATCATAGGTTTGAACGTTGTTTTCAATTTAGATTTGTTTATATCTATAACTCTATATACAGTAATCTAATTTAACATTGTATTGTTCTTTTAATTAAAACCTCTAATAATTGACAAATTATTGTCAAAATGATTTTATCTTCATTTCCCATTTACCAAATAAAAAGGAATTCATTATCAAGTTTTGAAATATTTTTCTTTTTACTAGTATATCATTTCATTCTGGTATTACCTAAGTTGAACAAAGGTATACAAAAAACATAATATTTTACATTACATTGCGTTGTACATTTGTTGAGAAAACATAAATATGAGTTATATTATAACGGTATCAGGAACAGCACAGCCGACAGGCTAACATCAGAGAAAATCCAGTTTGTCATTTATAATTCTAATAGATTTACAAAATTTTCGAAGTTTAGATTATTGCTGTTGATTCATGATGGCTTTTAACTTTAAACATTACAGTTTGATAAGTTTTCCTGTAAATTAGTAGTTTTTTTCTGTCAGTAGACTGTTGCATTAAATAAAATAGTAGTGTTCGTCACCGATAGCAACTATGCACAATGGACACTTTCTCTGTTCTCGTGGTATGTCTTGCCATCTACCATTATCGATCGGTAGCTTATAGGTCATTGTCCTGAACCTCGACAGTGTTATTATATCTTTATCATCAAGTATGTTAAGGTAGTGTTCGAAATTGTGTGATGTCTTGTATAAGCGATAATTCGTAGTTTTTGGTGAATTGTTTAAGTTTCCCGACCATGAGTGTGTAAATTGATCTTCCAGACTTTGTTTAATTGCTGAATTAATGTTATGTGTTGTGTTTTGGAATGTTGAAAGGTAAGAATATCTAGAATACTTTTCATCTTATCTAACGATCGTGATCGAAATGTCGTTTCTTGTGCCAACTTTAAAAGGTATTTAAACACTAAAGCAACGAGCCTGCTTTCTTTACCGGTAATAATCTTTGTCCAATAAGATACAACTCTTGTTTGTTTATCTATTTTTGAGGGATAACGACCCAGTTCTCCATAAATGAAGTCGTTTTGAGTAAATGGTTAAAGATGTTAAAGTAGCTTAAAAAAGTTGAACTCTTTCGAGTATTTCGATGTTTTCACAACCCCATACTTTGCATCCGTATAGCAGGATAGGTTTTGCTAGTAGGTCAAATAAATATATGGCACTTAATTGATAAGTTGCGAATTCGTACCTTCCTTAAAAATTCATATATTGCACTAATTGCTTTGCCCGTTAGATGTTGTTAGCACTGTTTAAAGTAGCCTAATTCGCTGAAAATAATTCCTAAGTAGTAAAAGTTATTTACGGTTTAAATATGATTATTGTTGTATTGGAAAATGAGAAAGTTTGTCCTTTTTTTTGAGAAAATTAAGATCTTAGTTTCAGCAAAATTTACTCTCATCTTCCAGGTTTCGCAATATTTTTAAATTAGTTTAGTGTATGCTGAAGTTGGTCAGGTGAAGTTGGCCAGGTGATTCTGCGCATGCTTTGTTATTTTTCATATTTTTCAGGGCTTAAACTTTCATGTTTTGTAATTCTGCTGTTTAACGCATCGTTTATTTCTTCGTAGGCATTATTAATTTCATTTTGGTGGTTTTCTGTATCATCTTGCTGATTACTGTCTAATTCTTTGAAATATGAGACCAATTTGTCGAAATCTATTTCAGGGTGAGTTGTACTTTTTTGTATTAAGAAGTCGCCAAAATTCCTTTGCATCCTGTTACTTCAGATCATCCACTGTCTTCCGAAATCTCTTCTGTATTTCTTATGTGCTTTGTTCATTGTCTTTTTATATCGCTTCTCTGCATCTGTGGCTAGTGCTCTGTGGAAAGGTGACTTATTCTTATTTTCATCTCGTTTCATGATAAGGAATTATGACCTTGCGACTTTGCAGTCATGGTCAAACCATGGTTTATTTTTGCTATTTTCTGACTTCTTTCCTGTATTGACTTTTAACATAAAAATGTTTCCCGCTGAATTGATTAGTACTTTGCCTATTTGATTGATTATTAGATAAAATGTTTCTTGCATCACTACTGCAGTGTCATCAATTTCAGAATTTATTTTATTTTATTTTTGTAAGGTTCAAGCATTCTAGGAACTTGTGTGATTTTTCGTTGGTCCATTTTTTTTTTCATTTATTCTAGTATCATCGCTACATTTGATACTAATTTCTTGGTCAGTTTGTATCAGCAAAATGTCGATTGTGAAATGAACATTTTATACAGACTTAAAAAATCAAGTACTTAAAAATCGGTAAAATTTTGGATAAGTTACTGCATACCTTATAACGTGTTGTTTTCATATTGTACAGCACTGGGTCGATACCTCTGGACTATCAGTTCCCGAGGGTATCACCAGCTCAGTAGTCAGTACTTCGGTATTGACATGATTTCTGACAAACCTTTCTGAAATTGTCCGTTAATAAATATTATAAGAAACTAAGGTTTCAACTCATTCAGGCAAAGTTGACCTTAGATAAATTTGGCTATTTTTTGTGTCCTTTTTGGTCATATAGCTCTTCAACTGTTTAGGTTATTATACATTCTTTGCTTTCAAATTTCCGGTTTTGAGCGTTCCTGTTGAAGGTAAATCCAGAAAAGCGCTTCGGACGCATGAAATTTATTACGCGTTGTTTTCGTATTATAAGCAATAATCAACAACGCTTAAATTGCGACATGTGACCTCTCTATCTATGTCGCCTAGAGTCTCTCCCATTCATGATGAAGAAGTTATTTCCCTTGCAAAATTCTAGTAGTTGATTTCCAAGCCTATTCTTGTTTTTATTCTCACTGTTTCTTTTGCGGGGGGATTTATACTGGTCTAAAGTACAGACAGCATTTATTGGTATATTTTAATTTCTATGATATTAGATTCACTATTAGGAACAAATATAAAATCATCTTCGGACTCTGTTCTTGCGTTTAAGTTACAAACAAGAAAAATTTTAGAAAACCTATTTGATGTTCCAAGAATTCCTTCTCAATTTCGTTTCTTCCATCGATGTGTGAATATGAGGTATATTCAGGGGGATGTAAATAATTCCCAAAAGTATGTCATCTGATCGGTTAATTACTATTGATATTTTAAACCACAAGACAAATTTACTTTCAGTTTTTGATATATTCAATATTATTTTTTAGATGATTTTTGTACGCTACAGCTAAACCACCTGATCTTTTTTGTCCGATTTTATTCTGTTCTTGAAAATTAATTCATATCCCTGTAATTTTATATCATCGATATCGTCTTGTTTTATTTCGAAAACGCCAGCAATATGCGTTTTATAACGCAATTCAGTAAATTCAGGATATTTGAGTTTTGATTTAATTTCACAACAATTAATACAAGTAAGTTTTTAATATTTCAAATGATCATTGTTTTTTTTTCAAGGATTCTCTTGACCTGTCCTACATCCGCGTGGTTGTGGTTTGTTCATTAATGTCTTCATTGTTTCCAGATTCCCGACGGGACCTTTTGAAAGGGCGACCATTTACAGTTTTGTTTCTAGCAGAATTTTGTTGAGCTTCACGTAATAGAACATCCTTAAAATGGTTTTGTGTCGAATGATACGTGTGGTTTTCCATAGATATATAATTTATCTCATATCAGTTCTACTTTCTTATCCTCACTCTTGGTTTTCTTCATTACTGGAGTAGAGTTTTTTCCGTTTTCTTTCAATTTCAATCGGCTACTGTTCGCCTATCCCAAATCGTTTCCCTTTCAACTAGAATTTATTGTTTAGTACTTCAAGCTCATTTTTGTGGATGCATTTCGATAAAATAGGATGGGCTCCATTTAGTCCGGGTTTCCCAAAACGATGAACATAGCCAAGATTAACTCTATACGGTATTTTAATTTCGTTTGTAATAAAGTTCTGTATTTTCGATTGACAATTCTCGTCTCGTTGAAACGCTAACCCGGAGAATATTAGATTGTCACTCATGTTTCTGCATTTGTGACCCAGCACTTCGGCTTGTAATTCTTTTATGTCGATGTTTTAGCGTCTTTTACTTTCCTTCTATATCACCTCTATCTTGTCTTTTATCTCAGATATCTCTCCTATTTATCAATGACGGTATATACGGTATGTCCCATTTTTTCTACACTTTCTCCACCTTACCTATTGCGTTCTTGCATTTCGATGATTTGTTTCTTCGTTTGTTTGTACTCTTGTTGACAAGTTCGACAAGCTTTCCTTTATATAAACGATTTTCTGTACTTCTTTCTCTATTTTCTCGACCCTATACGTTAGGACTCTAAACGACCTCAGAATTTCCATAAGAATAGCTTGAGCATCTTTGTCATTTAAGAGGTTTCCTGGTAGTTCATCGCCGGCTTGTTGATTATTGACGGCCATTTTTGACGTTATTTTATTATCCGATTGTTCTCAATTGTTCTAACGTATAGTGACGTAATATATACATTCGTTCACGTTTTGCATAAGTATTATGTAGAAAACAGTTTTAAAGAATAACGAGTCAAATGAATCACACTAAGATAAGAGTTAATAGCAAACGGATCGAATCTTCTGACCGTTTTAAATCGTATATTTTAGTTGTTCGGTTTTTTATAATCAATTTGTTTAGGAGCAAATTTTGTGTGCAGCTTCTCGAGCAACGTACCGAATGTCCTACTAAATATTTTGCTAAAAGAGGGAATCCGAATATTAACCAAAGCCTTACAGATTAAAACAAATGCATCACATCTTCTATTTCCTTCTTACAGAGTTTGCATATTCTATTTTTCTAGTTTTATATTAAAGTAACGACCTTTTTCTATTTCAAGTTTGTGAGCTCCGTGTTGGAACCATCTCTTATTATAACAGTTTGATCGCGTCCACTATTATAAGACTTTTAAATACTCTTCCCAGAGGTACAAAATTATATCCAAGATAGTTTTTAATAAAAAGTAGACTTGACAAAGTGTACACGATTATTTAAATATACATTGTCAACTTAGAAATAATGCTAGCAACATAAAATATCATTCATTCGTGATCTCAGGTGCTCCGGAAGGGTACGAAGATCCTGCTCCACATGTGGCACCCGTCTTGTTGTTCGTTTAAGTACA